AGGACTCCTGCCAGGCACCCGTGCGTCTCGGGAGCAGGGGGCGTGTGAGGGAAGCTGGATGACATTACGGGAAATGTCCCGAGTGGGCAAGTGGTGCGCACGTGGAAAGTGGCTTCCAGGGGCTGGGAGGAAGGGGGTCGGGGCTGACGGTGGAAGGCCAGGGCTGTTTCCCGAGGTGACGGAAATGCTCTCACAGCGGGCGGATCCTCGCACGGCCCTGGAGATGGGTTGGGAGCCCGTGACTTGCAAACTCCGAGTCAGAAGCCTGGAATGCGGACTATGTCTCAACAGAGCGTGTTTTCCTGTCTCGGCTGCCCGAGGTGGGCAGTGCTGTCATCCCACTTCACAGATGAGGACCCTGGGAGGCAGGGAGGACGTCACCCAGGGGCTGGGCCTCCCAGCATGGCCTTCGGGCCACAGAGGAGGGGACTGCAGGCCCCAGTTCGCTGACTGGAACTTTCCACTTCGGTTGAGGAGGGGCAGCTCGGACACAGCTCACACAGCCCTGGGGGCCGACTGGTGTCTGCTGGGTCAGGAGTCTGATGAGGAACTGGAACAGAAAGCGCCCTGGGTACAGAGCAGAGCCTCAGGGTCTCGGGGTCCCGAGAGAAGCAGGGGGGAGACCCCACCTGGCAGCCCCCCTGGAGCATCCACCCCCCTCAGCTGCTCAGCTCCTGCCCCAGAACCCAGGGCAGCCGGCACCCTCGGATCCAGTTTCCTGATTTTGATGAGATCCACTTTATCTCTTTTTTTTCCCCCCCAAGCCATGGTTTAATCCAGGGTTGCAAAGATTTTTTTTTTTTTTTGCCAGTGTTTTCTGCTAAGAGTTTTCTAGCTTTAGTTCCTCCCTTGTAGGATTTTTATACTAAAAGAAAAGACGCTTGAAACAGGTGGACAGCAGCTGCTTTCATTTTCAACTTTAATTTTTGTTGGAAAGACAGAGGCAGAGAGACGGAGGAGACCTGCCATGCTCGGGTTCACTCCCCAGGTGCCTGCGACAGCAGGAGCTGGAAACCCCATCCGGGTCTCCCACGTGGGTGGCAGGGACCCAGCTACTCGAGCCGTCACCTGCTGCCTCCCAGAGTGCACGTTCGCAGGAAGCTGGACCAGAAGCAGAGCCAGGACTCAGACCCAGTCCCACAGCGTGGGCCGTGGCCGTGTCCCAGGGGGCGTCGAAACTGCCGCACCGGACACCTGCACTTTATTTTGAACTTGGTATTCGTGGCTGCCTGGGTTTGTGGACCATCAGTAAACTCGCACGGTGTTTCTTGTCTGACTACCACCTCACGTTGCCTCTTGGAAAACTGCTGGTTTCTGGCACTTCTGGCATTCCTGGGGGTGCAGGATAGCAGAGGGGGAAGACGGGCCCCTCCTCCTCCCCCTTCCCGTGGGAACTACAGAGACGCTGTGGCCACTCCCATTTCGTCCGCATCTCACCGCTTCTCCGCCAGCTTCAGTCAGACCCGAGACTCCTGCCTCATCTCGCTCGTGGTAGCATGCGTCTCTAAATCCAGGAATCACAGCTCTCTGGAAAGGCACTTGCTGTGTTCTGGGGCATGGCGGGAGACCCCCTCCCTCTGAGAATGCAGGGGTGGCACAGGGGTGGGCTGAGGGCCTCCTCTTCCCCCCAGCCAGTGCACCTGCCCGGCAGGACCTGAGCCATGGGGCAAGTGTTACGGCACAGCGGGTTAAGCCACCCCTTGTGATGCCTGTATTCCATATCGGAACATCGGTTCGAGTCCCAGCTGCTCCACTTCTGATCCAGCTTCCTGCTAGCACACCTGAGAAGGCGGCAGAAGTAGCTCTGAGTACGTGGGCCCCTGTCACCCAGGAGGGAGACCCAGATAGGGTTCCTGGCTCTGGCCTCAGCCATCCCAGGCCTGGCCGTTGTTGTCATCCGGGGAGTGAACCAGTGGACAGAAGGCCTCTCTCTCTTGCTCTCCCTCCCCCCCCCCACCCGCCTTATTTTCTGTCACTGTGTCTCCCTTTCAGATAAATAAATCGTATAGGCAATGTTTAAAAAAGACCTGAGCTGTCCCCGGAGGGCCGCCGCCTGGGGCTGGGCTGCCACAGGGGGAGGGATCGAGTCGCACTGCCGGCATCAGCAGGAGGTCGGCAGAGGCCGAGCCTGCCCGCTCCCCGTGCACAGGGCAGAGCAGGTGTGCCCTTTGCTCTGCTGGACGGGGCCAGAGACCTGGGCCGGGTCTGGTCCCGAGAGCCCGGGTGTTGCAGGATGAATGAGAGAACCCTGCTTCTGTTTCCCCAGACTCCTTCCACACGCTCTCCTGTGGGCTACAGCTCCCCACAGCAGGTTTTATTCAGAACGCACTTCGTCCCCCCCCAACTCGCACCACCCCGGAATCACGCAGCTTCCTATTCCCGGACGTGGCCCATGGCAGAGGCAGGATCTGCACTTGGGCTTCCGGTGGCTTCTCCGTTAGATGAGGGCAGATGCCAGGGTCTCCCTCCCCACGCGTTTCCCGCACGTTGAGACAGGGAAGGACCCGGCACCGCTGAGGTTCATCTGACTCGGATTCTCAGGGCGGAAACCTGTGTGCCGCAGCCCCGCGGAAGCCTGGGTCCCCGCTGGTGCCATCCCATGGGCATTGGGGTGTCTGGAAGGGCCTCGGGAGCTTGTCTTCTAGACATGCGCCTGGCTGATCGGTGGCCCGGGGATGTACCTCCTGTGCCTCGTCCCCTCCAGGGTCCCTTCGCGTATCTGTGGCATCCAGCAGCAGGGTCCATGTGTTCACCACTCACTGTGGAAGCAGCTGGGCCTCTCCTCCTCCCAGGGGTAGTGAAGTGGGCGGGCCCTTCCCCTCCTCCTCCCCTTCCCCCTCCCATCATCCCCCCCCCAAGATTCTGGGTAATTCTGAGGGACTTGCATGCTTTCCATAGCAAGGTCAGGTGACAGGCTTGGAGGAGGGTCTCCTGTGCATCCCTGGAGGTCTCCAAGGAGGCGGTGCTCGGGGATAGTTCTGTGAGTACCGCCACACCCATCCCGGCTCAGAAGCCCCTCTTGGGGTTCGCATTCCCGTCCTGTGGCTCTGTGTTCTCTTATGAAAAGCCGTGTCCCAGTGCACTGTGGGAACTGGCCGCAGCATTGGGTTATTCTGCAGCTGTGGGCGTCTTCCTCTCGAGATGGGGGCCGTCTAACCGGCAGGAAGGGGCAACTCGCTGCTTTACCCGGCCTCTGTTGCTGGAGACACCAGGGCTGTCCGTCAAAGCAGGAGTCTGCTGCGCCCCATGTGTGGCCCTGCCCGTGTCTGTGATGCCCTTAGCGGGCGGCTGGCCCTCCTGTCCCAGGACATCGCCCTCGGGTCTCTGCCAGCCAGCAGTGGTCCTCTCGTCTCCAGTCCACAACTCCAGAACTCGGGGCCGTGGTTACAGCAACCTCGCAGATGACCTGCGGTTACTCCTCAAGTCACAGATGAGGAAGCCGAGACCTCAAGAAGCCAAGTGGCCCCGGTGGGGGGTGACCAAGAGGTGGCGACACCCCAGCCTGGGCTGGCTGGCCACGTCCTCGCCCCAGCTCCCTGCAGGTTGGGGGAGCAGGGGGCATCGGGAGGAGCTGTGTGTTCCCAGCTCATAGCCTGGAGCTGGGGTCCACCGGCCAGGACTGCGCATCTGGGGGTGAGGGTGGGGGCAGAGGATGTCTCCTCCACGGATCTGGAGCCTGTTGGGGATTTATTTGTCTTGCGGGCAATGGGTGACCTTTGTCGTGATGCGATGCTGTCATCTGCCCGAGTCAGTCTTGGCGGGGGAGGGTCCCAGGCCCGACACCTTGTGTGCAGTCCAGGCCTGGTTTAACAGAACCAGCTGTGCTCAAGGACTGGTGCCAAGGGGACAGTGGCCCACGCGGAGCCCCGCTGGGGACAGGGCCTGCAGCGAGAGCTGGGACGGCGGCCCGGCCTGAGGCCGCTCTGGAGAATGCCTTCCTAAGGGGCGCCTCGGGGCCGTCCCCTGCCGGGAGGGTGCAGATGGGGACCACGCCTGCTCCAGGGCTGCCGGGCTGAGCTCCCCTGTGGAGGGCCAGTGTCCGCGGGGGAGGAAGGAGCGTGGAAGCAGCTGCTGTTTGCACCTAGTGCAGTGTAGACGGTGCGCAGTGAGAGGAGGGGGAGTGGGAGTGGGAGTGGGCGGCTCCGGGCGGTGACGGGGCAGGGGCCTCACCACTTAGGGCGGGGGGATTTTTAAACATCCAGAGGAGGCGGCAGGGAGGAGCCCCTGACCCTGTACTGTGCCGTGAAGTACGGGGGGAGACCGAGTCCACACCCGAGTCCACACGCGGACTTCGTGTGCAGTGCTGGTGAAAATGCTCACTGGGGAACCAGAGTCGGGTCGGGTCCCAGGAAAGGAAGTGGTCATGTGGGTCTTTGCTTTTGTTGATAACATTTCCAAAAAAAAAAAAAGCATCATGTAGGGGCTGGTACTGTGGCCCAGTGGGTTAAGCCGTGGCCCGCGGTGCCAGCATCCCATATGGGCGCTGGTTTGAGTCCTGGCTGCTCCACTTCCAATCCGGCTCCCTGCTAATGTGCCTGGGAAAAAGCAGAGGATGCGCAAGTCCTTGGGCCCCTGTACCCACGGGGGAGACCTGGAAGAAGCAGCCTGGGCCAGCCCCGGTTTTTGCAGCCATTTGGGGAGTGAACCAGTGGATGGAGGACCTCTCTCCCTTCTGTCTTTGTAACTATGCCTTCCAAGTAAATAAAGAAATCTTTAAAATCTTAAAAAGAGACACCTTGTGGGCATCTTTTCCCCTCACCGTTGCTGACCGCCTAGGCTGAGGGCTGGGTGGGGCAGTGGGTGCCTGGCCGAGTCCCCAGCTGGGTGGCCTGACCCGGCAGGCCCTGACCTCACAGCCCCCAAAGCTCACTCTGAATCAGGCACAGCAGTGCCAGCTGCTTCTGGAAGCTTCCAGCGAGGCCCCGTGCTGCCTAAACAGAAATCAGGCCTGGCCCCCACCTTGCCCGCCCCTAACCAGAGCGGGTGTGCTGTGCTTCCAGGAATACATCGAGGCCCACCCCGAGACCATCATCCTGGACCCCCTCCCTGCCATCCGGACCCTGCTCGACCGCTCCAAGTCCTACGAGCTCATCCGGAAGATCGAGGCCTACATGCAAGGTACAGAGCCCCGGGGGTGGTCCCGGCAGGGGGCGGGCCTGGTCTCTGAGCACCTGGGGCAGGCAGCGGTTGGCTTCCGTGGGCTGGTGGTCGCTCCCGCGATCGGCAGAGGGTCAGGGTGCTCGGTGGGAGAGCAGCCCCAACAGCTTCTGAAGGGCTTCACTTTGCCAGGTTGAGCCTGGGGGAGCAATGCAATCGTGCTGGGGCTTGGGGTGCAGGAGTGGGGCAGGGCAGCCAGCAGGGTGACCACCGGAAGAGGGAGGCAGACTGAAGGCAGGAGGCTTGAGTCAAACACGGCGGGGGGGGGGGGGGTGTGCCGCTGTGGGGCGGGAGCCGCCCTCGTGGGTGCAGGGCCGCCCTCGCCGGTGCAGGCGCTTGTCCCGGGGGGTCTCACCGCCACACCCGCCTCCCTCCCCCCCAGGAGCCGGGCAGCTCTGGGAGAGTCAAGGCTCCCTTCCAAGGTGCTTGGTCTCTCAGAAGGACTTGTTGGGGAGATGTTGTTAGCGGGAACCCAGCAGGAACCCAGTCCATGTGCACCTTGACCTGGGCGCTCGTTTCCCGTGCTGGGGGCCTGGTGGGTGCCGTGTGGCTCGCAGCCTGCGTGCCAGGCCTCCATCCTGAGAGCGTGCCGTGGACCCTCTCCTGGGGCCTCTCCTCTGCCCCTCACTGGGCTCCTCAGTGGTGGTCCTTCGTGTTTTGTACGGGTCGCGGGGCCCCTCGGCACGCAGCAGACCTGCTGACCTCCCAGTCTGTGGGCGGTGAGGCCAGCCTCTCCCAGGCAGGCAGCCCGGCTCCTGGCTCCTAGGTTTAACCTCCACATCCATGGCCAGAAGGCCCTGGACCTAGCAAGCCGCTGGCATGGGTGCAGCAAGGACCCTGGCCCTCTCTTGGGAATCTGCCGGAGGCCTGGCCAAGGAGTCTCCTCTGGGCTGCAGGCCGGAGGAACGGGGTCTGCGGTGGGAGGAACGGGGTCTGCGGTGGGAGCACTGAGCAGGGAGGACTCTGCCCCTGTTGCACTGTGTTGGAGCCACACAGTCCCCGGCGGCTGGGGCGGGGGTGGCAGGGACTGAGGCTCGGGGCCCGGGGCTCCCAGGCAGGGCAGCGGCGTGAGCTGACGTGGGCGTGCTATAGGCAGGGACCTTGTCCTTGGGCAGCAGTCACAGGTGTTTGAGCTGCCGAGTCAGGAGACAGCTACCTGTACCCGGTACCTGTATCCTGTTGTGGGGTGACGGGGGCCTGCCGAGTCAGGAGACAGCTACCTATACCCCGTACCTGTATCCTGCTGTGGGGTGACGGGGGTCTGGGCATTGGACGGGGACTCATGCCCAGCCATAGGGGCTGCCTGTGCTGAGCCTTGGCCAGAGCCTGCCCTGTTGGGTCCTAGACTCTCCATCCCAGGCATCCTCTGCTCGGGAGCCAGGAACTGAGGGCTCGTAGGCTGGGCGAGAACTTGCTGACCACACTGCGAGCAGGCTTGGTTTGCAGCTGGCAGGAAGCACGGGGTGTGTGGGCCAAGTGCACACCCTGGATCTTCCTCACCGCGGCCGGCCGTGAGCCGGCCTGGAGCCCTCCCCCAGCCGTGGGGGACGCCCACTTGCTGCTGGGCGTGTCTGTGAGACCCTCCCTGTCCCCTGCAGGTGCAGATCCTTCCCGGAAGTGCATCCCTGGGGCTCCCCGCCCCAGCCTCCTATTCCCGGAGGCACCAGCCCTTTACTGTAAATGGCCGTAATTACCGCTGAGTTCCCTCGGATAATTATAGCAGTCCCAACAGCAGCGCTCTGGTGTGGGCAGAGGGGGCTTGGAGAGACTCCCTTAAGTTGTCACTGTCCCCAGGCCAAGGTGGCACTCCCTGTTTTCAGAGTGCCCGGGCAGCTGCAGGGGGACAGCTGGGGAGGCCGCTGGGCCCAGGGTCCTCTGCTCTGCTATGGGGGTGGGCGGGGGCCATGCACAGGGGGAGGAGCTCTAGGATGGGGCACCTGCACAGGTGGGCCATCTGCGTCCCTATGAGCATCGCTGTGCAGAACCGCCCACTGCTGCAAGGGACCCAGCCTCAGCTGTTTGCGTATCCTGCGGCCGGTATGTGGGTGGCGCCCGCTCGGCTGCACGTTCCCAGAGTGCAGCCTCTTGTAACTCAGAGCCTGGAGGGGAAGCAGGGCCTGTCCCTGCCGGCTGTCCACCCACCCATGCAGCTGGCATTCACTTTGCTGTCAGCAGAGGCCCCAAACCAGAGCAAGCTTCCTTTCTGTCTCCCCCGAGGAACACTGCCTGGCACCGGCGCACAACCGCAGGTACCCGGGCTCTGTCCATAGGGCGGCCCTCCTGGTCCAAGGTAGCGGCTGAACCTCCAGCCATCACATCCCCGTCCTCAGTCTGGACGTCAGGATAGAGAGGAGACTATGAAAAAGGAGGCCTATGGGGACAGATGGGCCTTCATTATCTCTTGAGAAAAGGGTCTGGAAGCTGTTCCCCCATCACTGGCTGGATTTCTCGGGATGAGCTGCAAAGGGAGTAGGGAAATGCATAGCCCTTAGCCTGGACGGCCATGGGCCCAGCTAAGATTCGGGAGTTTTGCTCCCATAGAAGGGGTGACAGCGAGCCCTGGGGGACCACTGGCAGGGTGCCGTGTCACCATCCAAGACGTGGGTTCCTGCGCTGGGACCCCGTTTCCCACGTGAGGGGGATGGGCCTCAGAAACAAAGCTGCCCCGGGGGCTTCCAGTGACCCACCCAGAGTGCCTGGGCTGCAGCCCCTAAGGGACGGCCGCTCTGGGAGGTGGCCGTGTGGGGACCGGCCAGTGCCCACAGTTCTTGGGCAGGCAGAGGCAGAGGGAGCGCGGAGCCTGGATCCCATCAGACCCCGTGTGGAAACTTCCAGAAGCTAAACACTGCCTGGTGCAGGTGTGGGGCAGGAAGGGAGGAGGCTGCACGGACAAACCAGAGCCGTGTCCCTCGGTGGCAGCCCCTTCTGCCGCCCGGCTCTGGGACCCAGAGGGAGAAGCCGCAGGCCGAGGCCTGGCTCTGCGGCCCACAGTGAGCGATCCCGGACAAGGCGCTCGCGGCTCCTGAGCTGGCCGAAGCCCCGCGTGAGAAGGCCCCGGGCTTGTTTGGGCGCTGGGTCAGCGTCCTTGTCCCCGGGGGTGGCAGGTGCACAGGGCCTCAGGCCTCGGGCTGGAGGGCTCTTGCGTTCTCCTTCTCCAGCCGTTCCCACTCACGTCCTCTGGGGGTGACAGATGGCCTCCCCAGGGAGTGGTGCACACCGCCGGGCTAGCGTGTGCCCGTGGCTGGTGGGGCTTTAACCAGGGCGCGTCATGGAGGCTGTGTGGAGGCTGGGTTGCGACAGGGTCATCTGGGCACCAAGTGAGGAGAGGGCAGCAGGCCCCCAGCAGAGCCTCTGCCTCCCATGTGGGGGCTGCCCCCGAGGTGGGCTGTCCAGGGCTGTGGGTTAGGGAGGAGGCTCAGTCCGTGCCCTGTCGCTCTCGGGCGGCCACAGGGCACCAGGTGCTCTCCATTGAACCTGGGGCACCCCGCGAGGAGGGTTCTGTCACCTGCCCAGAGCTGTGGGGGGGCGGGGCGGTGTAGGGCCCCACCCCCGCAGGGCGTGCTCGTAGCCAGCGTCAAGCGCTGGAAATACAGTGTGGGTTTGGCTGCCCAGGGCCCAGCGGTCCCCAGGACCTCCAGGTGCTGGGGCACCGATAGCGGCACTGCACCCAGGGGCGCCCTCTGGTGTCCAGGAGGTGGCACTGGCCAGGGAAAGGCCTGGTGTCCACTGGAGCCCAGCAGCTCTGTTTTTGCGTTTTCCTCATATATCATTTACGTATGAGAGTACATCAGCACATTTGCCGGAAAGAGGAGAAAGATCCCTGTACGAGGAGCCCTGGGCTCGACCCGCAGCTGCGGCCGCCCTGTCGCAGCCATTACTCATCAGTAACACCGGGTTGCTGATGTTTGCTCCAGGCCGGGCAGAGGGGTCCTGGGCTGGGTACCGGCCATACCCCCAAGTGCCAGCCTGCCCAGCCCACAAGGCCGGGCTAAGGGGACAGCATGCCCCCTCCCTTGAGGGGTCTGGCGTGGGGGAGAGCAGGGTGCCAAGCCTGGCCCAGACGAGCCCCCCGGAGCAGGTGGCTGTAGGAGGAGCACTGGCTCCAGAGGCTGACGGGGAGACTGGGCCCTGTTGAGGGTGCTTCCTGGGCCTCGGGGTGTCTGAGACGCACGGTGACCTTGTTTGTAGAGCCGGGTGATGCTCAGGCTCTGTATTACCCCCAGCCCGGGGCTGACCGGCAGCAGCTGGGGGCCAGGCCGTGGTACGGGGCACTGGGATTGAACCCGCCATGAGTCCCCCTCGGGTCACCTGCCTGGTGTGAGATGGGGCCATGAGCTCTGGGCCCAGGCCTGGCGCTGGCGGGGGGCTCCCCCTTTCCAGTGGGGTCCCCGGAGCCTCTGCGCCAAGGCTGCACAGGTGACGTCGCTTGTTCGGGGTTTCTGAGTGACCCCAGCTGCCTGCTCCTCGCTGACCCTGCAGGAGGGTCCAGGCCAGAGGCCACCCCTGCTGCTGCACTGCCGACCTCGCATCTCACCCTGGGGGCTCAGGGGGCCCAAGCTGACATAGCCCCCGGGAGTCCTGAGAGCATCAGCCCACTGGCCAGTGCCCAGCTGGGGCAGCAGAGGCCAGACACACCGAGGGGGGCTTGGGCCGGGGTCCATCTGCCCTCCCCCACCCCTCCCTCCTTGGCCTCCCGCATGGGCTCCTCACTGCCTGTGCACTGGCTGGGGGCCCTTCCCTTGGTCTCTCCCTGCCCTGGCCTAGCTGCACGGGGACAGGGGCACGTGGGGAGGGTGGCTCCCCCGGCAGCCTCGGCCCTGTGTCCGCGCCTGCCGCCTGGAGCCGGAGCTCAGCTCCTCCCACGGGGGCTTTCAGGTCCAGCTTCCCGCCGGGAGCCTGGCGGAGAGGAAGGGACGTTCCAGGCCTGGGCCGAGCCCCTCGCTTCCCACGCTGTGGCCCAG